ATCGACAATTCAATACCGAAACGAATGTACCAAGCGTNCCAGGTAAACAAGGTATGTAAACGTCAGTAAACTTCCAAGATATGAGAACATGTAAGCAAAGCATAAATTACAGCTACGTTGACGTTGCTGTAATCCTGCATGAGAGAAACGAGGCCGGGGCAAAGGCTAGGAAATCAGGCTCAGAGGTAGAATGGCTGCGTTTTAGGCAGCTAAGGAATAGATTCACTTCAAATGTCAAAAGTGCTAAGTCGAAGTACTATTTGTCAGTAACCACAGAAAACCTAAATAATCCTAGGACATTTTGGAAAGCCATAAAATCGATCTCCACCGGTGAGATCCAAAATGAGCTACCTCCGTGCATTACCACAGCATCTGGCACTATATCGGACAGGGCTACTATGATAAATTGCTTTAATGAGCATTCTGTGTCCTGCGGTTCTATGTTTGATTCTGTCACTAACTCTGCTGCTGTGAACACCCCAATCCGTGACTCTGAACAATGTGGTCTGGAAAACCCTTTCAGTTTTACTCCTTTTACTGTTAATTTTGTTCATGAAGCATTATCTAAGTTAGATCCCAAGAAACCGGCTGGCCCGGACAACGTAGAACCTTTCTTTTTAAAGATAGCTGCAGATTTTATTGCTCCACCTCTTACTTCTCTTTTTAACCTCTCCCTCAGCACAAATGCAATTCCAAATGTATGGAAGTCTNAATTTACTCGGAAGGCTTCAGTAGAAGCTGCTGGGAGTCCCAGCAGCTTCTACTGAAGCCAGTCCCCAACTCCGGGGACTTCCGGCCGGGGACTTCGGGTGGCAGTATACGCCGTGAAGTTGTTTGCGGCCTGCCAGTAAACCCAAAGCAGAAGAAGAAGAAGTGACGTCAGCGGCTTCATTTGCGTAATCTCTCCTCAGGGAACTTATTCCGGTGTGAACGCGATCTGTACTTAGTTCCATGGGGGCAAAGTACGGCAAAGTATTTGGTGTGAAAGCGGCTATTATCTCTGTGTTAGCTGATTATTTTGTAGAATTCTGTTGAGTATTAAAAAATTGCATGAGTATGAGGGTATTAAAAATAAATTGGTCAGTAAGTCAGAGATGTGCAACTATTAACTTTTTGTTTTAAAACCACTTAAGCCCCAAGCCTGTTTTTCAGGTTTCAGGCTCGAAAATGACATGCCCAAAACAAAGGACTATAACTTAACTTCTAAAAGGGTTATATGAATAATTTCTTTTATCAAAGCAAGGTCACATCTGTGAGTTGGATGTAGAAGTGTCAGAATCAATAAAGATGTTTCAGTGTCAGAGTAAATCCAGATGGAACATAGTCAAAAAGTGTAAATTCTTGTCTCCGCCCAAATAAAACCCATTACTTATAGTGAAAACAACCCCTGAATGATGGGTTGGTAGCCTAAAAGCTTTAGGAATCCAAGGTATAACATATAATAAGTACCCTTTATCAAGATTGAGGCAAAACAAGTGAAAATTGACCTTTTTAGGGGTGTTTAGCAAAAAAAAGTCCAAGAGGACTAACCTTTGGGCACATTTGGGTACATTTGGTTCCATCAGTGCTATTTGACCTTTTTCAGGTACCAGACTGTCAAAATCATTGTATAACATTTAATTATCACTATAGGTATTAATTCCATAAAAAAAATTGTAAAAAAAATAAAATAAGTGTGTGTGTGTGGGTGGAGTGTGTGGGAAGTTCCCTCTTTGCATGAGATGCATGTTACTTGCACAATAAAAATTAGGAAACATAGGAAACATTTGACTCCAACTGGAGCAGATTTATTTAAAAAAAATTAGCAACACACTATAAAACAAGCATTTTTTGGGTAAAAAAACCAAAACTTTATACAAACCCTGAAATAAATGCTACAGTATTGCTCCAGAAAGTCATGCCAATGCCTGAAGCAGTTATTTTTGGTAGTGAAGCACAGAGGGACCTGACACTTCCTGCAGTACACCGGTGTCTTCACCCTTCTGTTGCCAGCATCAGAGCACCTCCTGCAGTACCTCCTGACCTTGGTGGCATCTTCCCCATAATACTCGGGCATGCATGTGAGTGATGGTGGGGGGGTTGGTGGGCGGGGTGTTGCTGCTGCAGGGACTACAGAAAACTCAACCAGTTCTTTAGCAAGATGCTCCCTGAAGGACTTCTGTGTTAGTGGCTTCGCCCCGGCGGGGTCACCCCTCCTCTTTTGCAGCTCCTTGTGGAGAATGAAGCTGTTCACCACGGAAATGTCCATAAAATGGTAGAAAAATGTCTTGTACCATTTCATTGTTTTGTGATGAACGCTGTAGTATCAAAGCGTCGGACACATCCACACCGCCCATGCTTCGGTTGTAGTTCACCACAGCGTCACGAACAGGAACATTCTTGGTTTGCCACACACCAGCCTGTTTCACGTTCCGCCTGACAGTCATTCCACTGAAGGCCATGTGCACGGTGGAGCACATGGTCACTTCACGGCTGTCCATCCACTTTACAAACAGGAGCTTGCTTCTCCTTATCCAACGCAGATCTCCCCTTTCAGCCTTTTACGGAAGGTCGTTCAACTCAGTCTGTGGAAAACCAACTTGATTTATTCGAATGGTCCCACAACAGCCAATGCCTTTTGTTGACAAATCCCCAAATAGGGCAGGGCTGGTGTAAAAATTGTCCACAAAGAGTGTGTAGCCCGCACCGAGCACAGGGAAAGGCAGGAGATCAATCACGGAGGAGTAGCTGAGTCCCTGGCCTTGGATGAACTCACTCTTCCTCGCATACACAAATAAATTCCAAGTGTATGCTGTTGAGGAATCCGCCAGCACAAACAGTTTGAATCCCCACTTTGCTGGCTTGTCCTTCATATACTGTTTTATGCTGCTGCGTGCCTTGGAGGCGACCATCCTTTCATCAATGGAAATGTTTTGATATGGCTGGAAATGTGCTTTACAGGCAGCAGTGATTTCAGTGTACAGGGGCTTGACCTTGAAAAGTCTGTCATACTCTGCAGTGCTTCTTTTGCGATCATTTTCCTCGTCTTCTTCAGGGTTGCTCATGTGCAGCGACCAAAAGATGGCTTCGAAGCGATTCTGGGACATTTTATCAGCTGGGAAGCTGAAGTTATATGGCCATGTAGTCCTCCAGTAGTCTGTTCGCTGGGGCACGTGAACTAGGCCTGTGAAAATGATAATGCCCAGGAAAATAAAAAACTCTTCCTGAGTCAGCACTTTCCAAACCATCTTCTTCCCTGCCTGCAATCTCTTCAGGGCGTTTGCAATTAGTGTGTTAATCACGGTATTGCCAAAAAATAATCTGAAGAGGGAGAGGGGAGACCATAATGCTGTGGTGTCAAACATAGGCCCTGGGATCCTGGCTGGCATGAACCTCAATGGCTCTGGACATATGTCATTCTCCTCTCTGCTGTGCCACCTGGGTTCTTCCTCTGTCGTTCTGGTAGAGGCCGACCCACCTCGGCCACGCTTCCTGGGTGCTACAGCTTTTTTTGATGCTTTTCCCTTTCCTTGTCTTTTGCACGGCGGCTCGAATGGTGCATCTTCATCAGAAGATGCAGGGGCAGGCTGAGTTACTGCTGGTGCAGATGCCCGGTGTCGTATCTTAGGTGTTGCTGGCTCTGAATGACGTCGTAGCTTGGACGCAGACGTTGATGGCTGTGATCCAGAAGCCATTTCATCATCGCCTTCCTCACTGTGAAAACAAATGTGGAAAAAACAAATAGATTAATTCTCTGGCTTGTACTTTCAAAAATGTAACTCAAATCAGAAATAATTTCTCTACAACAACAGCAGAACATCAATTTTGAGTGTGTGAAATAATAACATTATATCACTCAAAATGTATACCGTGTAAATTACGTGAGACGGGGTTCATATAATCTGTTCAATATTTAATAGATACTGAAGGTATTATCAATTATTACATTATCAAGTGAGTGTGGCTTCAATCTTCTCTACACTTTCATTGTATGGCTTAAAATCACTGCAAAATACTCTTGCTTGATCTTGATCATAAAATTAGGTTGACTTTACTTGCACATGCACATAGATTTTTTTGCCTCCTAAAATGTAAATCTACATCATGGGACCTGAACATGAGGCTTTCGAGTCTTTGGAGTTACTGCAGAGAGGCCAGCTAAATCATTTTTGGAATTTATTTTGTATCCCTTAGTAATATTTAATATTAAATAAATACATTACAGTTACATGAATCCAACATATTATTAAGAAAGGTACTTTCGTTTATCGTGTGGCGCCCATCACAAGGAGAAAACTATTTTTTTAAATAAGGTTTTGAATGCACCATGAAAAGGTACATTTTTTAATATAAATGTTTTTATAATTTAAATGTATTAAAACGCTTCTTGTTTATTCACAGAAGATATCTTAAAAGAGCGAAAGCCTCATTAAACTTCATTCACAAAAAATGAACCTAATAGTTTGTCATCACAATTCCTATTTTTAGTTTGGCGTAAATTATTAAAATCTGTTACTTTTCCATAATCATGCCATCATGAACACCAAGTGAGCTTTTAAACAATGACAACTTAACATAAGGAGTATCAGGAGAAGATTCTCCATGTTATTATTATTGTTCTGACTCTTCTGCATCACATACCTCTGTACCCTGTGTTGTGAGTCACACTGTGAGCATGTCAATAACACCTTTCATAATGTCAGTGTCTCTAGTGAAGCCTCACCACTTCTTGTTTTGTCTCTATCTCTCTGTTTATTGCTTCAACGTGGAAGTGTGTACTTTGAGTTTCCACAGCTGCTGTGTTCTAAAACTAAATTACAGAGTTACTGGTTTTGATATGTTTAAAACTGTGATTATGTATTTATTATCATTTAATGTCGAATTCATTTCATTTTTAAATCTCTTTTTACTTGTATGGATGGACATGCAACCATTATTTTATTTATGATAATCAAAGAGTTACCATTTGATGACCACTTCCTATTTTTGTCTTGTAATCATGGCTTTCTGTCACGATCCAGGTGGTTTTTCGGGACAATGAACCGCATTGAGGCTCAGAGCCACCTGATGGGAACAGGAAATGACTCGGGAGCTTTCCTCATCCGTCACAGCGAGAAAGACCACGTGGGATACGTTCTGTCAGGTGAGACAAGAAGGAGAGTGGCGAAATGGGAACGAGATGCGAGTCATGTCACTAGGTCTAGGCAATATAGCAACATTATATATATATATATGGATATTGTGATATGAGACTAGATATCATGGTAGATTGTGGATATTGTAATATAAGTGTTGTGTTTTCTTGGTTTTTAAAGGCTGATCATATCAACATTACTAATGTTTTTTTTTCCAAAATGGTATTGTGTTAATATTTAATGGAAGGGCCAATAGTCAACCCTAAAATGTTGTTATAATATTGATAGAGGTAATGTATTAAAGGTCCCATGTCATGGCCATTTCTACTGATCATAATTCCATTGTTGAGGTCTACTAGAATAGATTTATATTGTGCAATTTTCCAAAATCACATTGGTTTCTCATACAGCACCTCTGTATAGTATGTGTATTCCTTCTCTGTCCTAAACGGCTTGTTGGAGCTCCTGCCCCCCCCCTGTGAGCCCAGTGGCCGTCTGCGAGACAGCGAGACACAGCGAATACCCAAGACTACTTATTTTATTTTTGTCTTTCATCTTCTCTGTCACTTTGCTGTTGGATTGCTGTAAAGATTCTGAAATGTGTCAAATATAATGATAGCAGTCTGCCTTAGGATGTGGTAGTTTGTGAAGGAAAGAACTAGGAACCTAAGATAAGAGTTTTACACATACTCAATCAAATACTGTCTAATTCATGTTTAGATAAATAAATACATCTTCCGGAAAAATTACACGTGACACTAGCAGCACATGAATGAAAAAACACTAATCTCAAGTGCACCAGTATGCCCTTTTACACAAACACCTATACAAGTATGTAAAAATAAATATGAACCCTGCCAGAATTGACAAAGCTCAGTCACATTATACCTCTGACTGTATTTTCTTCCTTCCTGCTAAATGCCCATCCCTATATTTCCTTCACTGATGCCCTTTCAAAGAGCAACAGCACAACCGTAACCACAGAAAATGTCAGTATTTATTTTTTTCCTTCATATCATGCAGGATACTAATTCGTACCTTTCAACATGACCTACAAAACTTTCTACCAGAGCCACAACAGCCAAACCTGTAACACACAACTCGGAATGAAATTGCAATACACTATCAGCTTGCTTTCTATTTTACATTTCTTTGAAATCTTTTGCGGAAACTCAGTTTTTGTACCTGTTATGAAGCATGTTTATATGCCCTGACCAATCATTGAAAATCTAAAATAGTTCCCAGGATGTTCTGCGATACATGTTTGTGAGACATCTCAGATGCTGTTTTGGTGCTTTTTTTTTTAAAGCAGCTTAGTACTTATAGGTCTATTAACCAATATTAAGATAAATCCAAGTGAGAAAAATGTAAGTGAGGCTAAGGTCTTTGTGTTGTACTTTTCTAATGACCTCTGCTTTTCTCTGACTGTCTGTATGTCTGTGAATCTTTCTGCAGTGAAGGCGAGCGTTCGGGTGAAGCATTTCAAGGTGCACACAGCAAATGAGACTAATTTCTACATAGAGCACAACCTCCAGGTCACCTCCCTGATCGACTTGGTGGAGCACTACTGCGCCAACGAGCTGAACAACACCGGCACGCTTGGAAACCCCTGCAAGAGGGTAGGAGGTTATTCTCTCTATCTTTATTGTTCCTTTTTTCTTCTGCATATGAGAAAACAAGAAGTGTGGACACAGTTCAAACTTAAGTACAGCTGTTGTACTTGTTTTGAGTGGAGGTGTGTTATGTTGTTGCATTCGAGCCTCAATGCGAAATTCACAAAAGGAAATCATGCAACAAATATGCAGAAGCTGGCAGGAAGCCAACTATAATGCTTCAAAATAAAAATGCAACACTAAGTCCAAGAGACATGTCAAACTCAATGCTATGATGTAGAAATACACTGTTATAAGGAAGTAAAAGAACAAACATATAAGCATCAATATACAACTAAATTAACAAAAGTCAAAGTACTCAGGACAAATGCAACATTTTTCTAATGTAATGAGTAAAGGGTATAAGTAGCAGTGAATGGAAATACTCATAATAAAGAGGACCTCGAAGTATAATGCTTTAGTTAATAACTCGCGACCCCTCAGCAGGAATTTTCAAATCGATTAAAGCTCTATAGAAATCTTAGTGATGGATATTCTCAGCACAGAATCGCTCTTTGTTTACATTCATAATGTAAAAATAAAGACCTAACAGACTTGGAAAAATAGACCTATCCTGCCATGAAGGTGCCTTGTTAACACATTGTGTAGCAGAAGCTATGAGTCGGAGGATTTACTTGTTGCTTTTGTCCAACATGATAATAAACTAAATAAATGTTGGTTTCTGACGGCAAGTTAGACAAAATAAGACATCAGATAACTTAACAGAAATTAATAGGATCATATTTCACTATTTTATGACATTTTAAAGACCAAACAACTAGTACAGAAAGTGATTGTCCAAAAATAAAACACAGTTGCAGCTCCAAACGTTATGCCGTACGTTTACATATTTCACATTTCCATGCAGTGATCCTGAAATTGAATGATAGATTGAAACAGATCTAATATACTTTAAACTTTAGCTTTCATGCATTGTCTACCATTTCTAATCTGTATTGATGTCCCTTTATGACCAACAATTGCGTGCACGTGTGTTTCCCTCATCAGAAAAAGCCTCCTACCACAGATCTGAGTCACTTTACGGTGGACGAGTGGGAGCTCCCGAAAGACGAGTTCACGCTGTTGGAGATGCTGGGCAGCGGATACTTCGCTGACGTCTACCGGGGGTGCTGGAAAAACCACATCAACGTCGCCATCAAGATCCTCAAAAGCGGTATTTGTTTATTTGTTTATTTCTCTTAAAGCTCGATTTAATATATTTATGAACATTAGGAGTTGTTTAGGTTCTAAACTCTTCAAAAACCAAACAGAACAGCTTGAAAAGGTTTTAAATACAGAAATATTTATTTGAGCTCCTTTTACATGCAATATGTTGCTAATATAGGCTGAGAAAAAAGGGGAAACTGTCTAAAAATGTGTTAGAAAAAATATCTGATATATGGTGAAAGCACTTTAATGTGACTGTTCACAACTAAATAGTTTGTTGACCCTGTCATTATTTATTTGTATAGTGTAGTTATTTAAACGTTTTGATACATTCAGATGTTATGGGTACGTAAAGGCTTAATCCTAAAGAAAGAATTAGAGGCTTTAAAGAAATACGGACACAATACATTTGACTTCTTTAAATTCTCTTGAATCAAAGTAATCTGAGTAAATCGGAACAATAAGTCACATTGATGATTCACTTCAGTAACTTTGACACAAAAGTGGCATTTCCTCGTGGTTCTCAAATGTGAAATTATTTTGCTTTTCCTTCTCTTGTCAAATTAAAATCTGCAAAGTAAAGATATCAAATAAAATGTGGTTCAATATTTCCCTCTTGAATGTAATGGACTAGAAGTACAAAGGAGCAGAACATTTTAAAACATCGTCCTCCTCAAGATTGAACATAATTATAGTTCTTGAGTAAATACGCAGCTTTTGTTTTCTTAACAGTGTTGTGCAAAAATAAAAGTATGCATTGTGGATAACATGTTGGACCACATTTGAGAGAAACTGATGATGGACATAAGAAGTATGTAGTTAGATCTTCACGGCAATCCTCAGACGCCTCTCAGCTGAAAATTGTATCTGGCTTTTCAAGCTAAAGTGACACTCTGATCTACTGAACGTATAACCGCTGCTTTGTTGTGTAACGATGAGTAACATTATGTTTCCTGGTTGAGATTTTCATCATCTTTTGGCTCAAAGTATGTACCAACGTCACAATGTACGTCGTTGTAACAAACACCTGTAGAAAGCTGAGGTGGAATTAAACTAATTCCATTTACTCAAGTATTGTATTCACGTACTATTGGTTATGTACTTGTACTTTACTTGAGTATTTTCTTTTCATTCTTCTCTCTATCTGTAATATACCACATTTCAGAGGGAAATATTTTACCTTTTACTCCACTACATGTATCTGATAGTTAAAAGTATGTTAAATATATATGAGGAGTTTGATTATAAGAGCAGAGTTTTCATGAAAGAAAAATGGTTTCAATTTCTTCTTGACAACATGGTGAATCTGATTTATTTATGGAGGAATTAGTAATCCACTTATATACTGAAACAGCCACAGGGGACCTTTTTCTGCATTAAGAACTCTTACGTTTAATGCCTTAGGTACGATTTCCTCATTTTACTTACATACTTTTACATAAATAACATTGTGAATGCACTTTTTTAAGTGTGATATTAGTACTTCTACTAAGGGAAGGATCTCAAAACTTCCTACAACGCTGTTAGAGAAGTCAGTGAGACCATTATGAGGCGTGAATCAAAGCCACTCATACTTCAGTCTGTCAGGCAGCTCTCTCATTGGTTGACCTGATGACTCATTGTTCGAAAATACCATAAAACTCCTCCAAACAGGAAGTAGAGACTAAACTATCTTCTTATTTCGATGAATCACTGTCTAAACATACCTTTAGACAGAAACCCAGGCCAGTTTATTGTAAATGACTCTAGATCATATTTCCGATCAATGGTTTATGACACAGATAACTAATGTAATAAAACGTAATATTTACTAATCATCGTTGTGCATCGTTTTAGTGAAGAGAATGTAAGGTCAACAACAAGTTGTAACATCATTGGCTGAATTACCATCAAAATGAAGTAGAGGCTTTACAAAAAAAAGTAGATTTTAGAAATGTTTACTTGATAAATGACTTTCCTGCCAACACAGTGGTGGTCCTCACTAATTGTTAAATACAAATAGAACTGTTTTGGTAATTAACAAAGCTATTTATTTGTATATCTAAATGTCAGGGTGTCCTCGGGGTCTTAAAAAGAATTTAAAGTTGATAAATCAATTCAGCGAAAATTAAGGCTATTAAAAAGTACTAAACGGCATTTCCCAAGGTATTACATTTTGTAGCTTGTTTTCAAGAAGTATATAAATTGTCCAAAGAGGTTGTATTCTACAGTCTGCCTGAATGTAATCATTGCGTAGGTGTGTAGTGTGATTCTGTGTAGTTTATTTATGGCATCCCGTTGGATTTGACGTCATCTGAACAGGACATCGCACGTTTACACCGGTTGTTAAACAACATCGTTATGGGGAAATGCAAGTCTGCGTCCAAATGGTTGGAAGATAAGGAGGAAGGACAATCAATACTGTATATAGTCAGATGTGTCACGAATGTAACCGGTTGAAACTCGAAGTGGCGATGAGGTCTTAAAATGTATAAAGGGTCTTAAAAAAGGTCTTCAAAGGGATTACATCTGACTTCAGGATTCCTGCATATACCCTGAATGTGCTCAATAGTTCATAAAAATAAGAACACTTAAATTATAATGCATTGTTTCGATTACCTTTTTGTTTGAATATCACCACATCAACAAAGTCTTAAAAAGGTTCTTTGCTTGTTAATGTCTGTCTGTGTATAGAATAGAATAGAATATATCTTTATTGTCATCATACAAAGTAAAAACAAAATTCCTTTGGCAACTCTCACTGCAGTAATAAAATAGACACAATAAATAAATAAGAGTGGTACAGAGCAGAGGTAGTAGCGATGACAGTGCAACGAGATAAAACTCAATGTGCATATTTACACTTACAGTCTAAAGGTATATTAGTAAACTAGCCATAAGTATTACTAAATAGTAATAGAGAGAGAGCCAAGCCGCTTGTCTGCACGTGCCGCCATCATGAATGAATGCCGAATATAGTTTTTAATTGAATGTAGCCCTGTGGTGAGGAAATCTGACCCTGAATACATCACATTTTGGCCATTACCGTGGCAACACATATTTACAGCCCACTTTATTATTTAGCCTTTTTTGGACTGTTTTGTTATTTCCCCTTGTTTGGGAAATTGGGAACATTTTCCTCAGAAATCTTTTAATCAGAAGATGCTGCTTACAAAAGGTGGAGAACCCCTGAAGTCATTGATTAATCTACTAACCACTTTAACACAACGTTATAAAATAGAAAATAGAAGGAAGGAATATGTGAACTAGCAGCAGCTGATATGTTTTTGTATGGATGTTGCAATAATCTTGAGGCTTGAAGCAGATGTAAAAACAGCTTTACAGAGTGAAACAGCTGATGAAATATAGATGAGCGTCTTTTGCTCTTGCATTCATTTTAGGGCAGATTGAGTCATGAAAGCGTTTCTTTTAACCACACCGCTACCACAATATTTATGCAAAGCAGTTGGATTTATTCTAATATTTATCTGTCATAAAGTACAGTAAGCTTTTACTGGAGAAGTATTTTTCATGTTGTTGTGTTGACTTGCATTTTAAATAACAGCTGTCTCTACACTCAGTGGCTCCATATTTTAACTTTCTTTTATTCTAACTGTCTGTTTCTAAACCATTCTGTGTTGGTAGTAGATTTTCACAATTGTCTTTGATAGAGGTGGTAGGATTTATTATAGTGACTACACAGATCGGGAAACTGGTGTGCGCTGCTTTGAATCTATTCGGTTTGGCTTTTACTGTTCTGGCCTTTTCTTAAAACAAGCAAAATCAAGAAATGTTACTATAACATACAAGAATAATAAATATGCAATTTGCTGAGAAAATTTAGATTATTTTTGCTGCTCTTTTAACACAAGTAAATCAATATATATAATTACAGTTCAATACATTGTTTAATTACCAGCTAACATGGTTTTTACGTTACATTGCATTTAGCTGACGCTTTTATCCAAAGCGACTTACAATAAGTGCATTCGACCAAGAAGATACAAACTTGAAGAAAACAGAATCATATAAGTACATCAGGTTTCATAGAGCTAAAACATTTCAAGTGCTACTCAACTGGCTTTAGATAAGCCAGTCCTTTATTAGTATATAAGTTAGCAGTTCTTTGTTAGTAATTCTATCGCTCGAAGTGGAGTCGAAAGAGATGAGTTTTCAGTCTGCGCCGGAAGATGTGCAAGCTATCTGCTGTCCTGATTTCAATGGGGAGCTCATTCCACCATTTTGGAGCTAGGATAGCAAACCCACGTGTTTTTGCTGATGGGAACTTGGGTCCCCCTCGCAGTGAGGGTGCAGCGAGCTGTTTGGCCGATGCAGAGCGGAGTGCACGTGCTGGGGTGTACGGTTTAACCATGTCCTGGATGTAGGAAGGGCCAGATCCATTCACAGCATGGTACGCAAGTACCATTGTCTTGAAGTGGATTCTAGCAGTTACCGGAAGCCAGTGAAGGGAGCGGAGGAGCGGCGTGGTGTGGGAAAATGTAGGAAGGTTGAAGACCAGACGAGCCGCTGCATTCTGGATGAGCTGCAGAGGTCGGATGGCACATGCAGGTAGACCAGCCAGGAGGGAGTTGCAGTAGTCTAGGCGTGAGATGACGAGAGCCTGGGCCAGAACCTGAGTCGCTTTCTGGGTCAGCTGGGGACGTATCCTCCTGATGTTGTAAAGCGTGTATCTGCAGCAGCGGGTTGTAGCAGCAATGTTTGCAGTGAAGGACAGTTTGTTATCTAGGGTCACACCCAGATTCCTTGCAGTCTGAGTTGGGGAAACAATAGAGGTGCCGATGTTGATTGTTAGGTCAAGAGTGGGACAATCTTTTCCGGGAAAGAAAATTGGGTTCAGTCTTGTCAAGGTTGAGCTTGATGTGGGGAGCAGACATCCACTGAGAGATGTCAGCTAGACAAGCAGAGATGCGTGCGACGACCTGGGTCTCTGAGCGGGGAAAGGACAGAATTAATTGGGTGTCGTCAGCGTAGCAGTGATATGAAAAACCATGCGGGCTAATGACTGATCCGAGCGAGTTTGTGTACAGAGAGAAGAGGAGGGGACCAAGAACAGAGCCCTGAGGGACCCCTGTAGTTAATTGACAAGGGTCGGACTCGGTTTGATGAAGATACAAAGATATACAAATAAAGCAGTGCTTCATGATTATCTTTTTTGAAAGACTATAAAATCAGGAAAGCACCAAACATAGGTTGGTTTAAGTGTGGTATATTTGTCCAACGGTTAACATGGTTTCCTTCTCTTCCTCTTTTCTCTTTATTCCTCTTTTCTGTTTCACATGCTTTTAATTCTCTCTCCATCTGTCGGCCTGTTTCTCTCTCCAGACTCTGAGTTGAACCACCGTGAGTTTCAGAGGGAAGTGCAGATCCTGAAAAGCCTCCGCCATCGTCACCTCATCTCTCTGTTTGCCACCTGCACGGCCTCTACTCCGTACTACATCATCACCGAGCTGATGGAGAAAGGCAGCCTGCTCGACTTACTCAGAGGTAAACCCCTCACTGTGGCACATACTTCTGTCTTTACGGAGGGAAAACTGAGCTTTATACCCCAGGGTTAAGGTCAAGGGGTTAAAGATTGTTCTTCTGGTTCGAAAGTTGTTGTAGGTATAAACTACATTCCAGTATTTCAAATTTAAATGTATAACTATAACTATATAAATATATGATTTAGAAAATGCACATGCACCTTAAGGTTATTTTAACTCTATAAGACATATTGCTTCTAAGTTTTTATCGCACTGCACTAGATAGCGTTTCAGCATTGACATTGTTATTTGCTTATATGCAAATAAGAACAAATGACCTAAAACCCGTCATGCCTGTCTGCATACCGGTGATTTGCTACTTGATTCAAAAGGAAAAAACACAATGTGCCAAGATTTAGCTTTAGCATCTAGCATTTAGATGTAGCATCTTAACTGTGCCAACAAAGTGCACCAGATTGATGCATTTAATGTTAAATATACAACATTTATGTTGAAAAATATTGTGCAGCCCTATTTTTAAACTATATTTGTTCTTTTTATTGTTTCAGGTCCAGAGGGGCGTAATCAAGACATTGCGGCCCTCGTTGACATGGGTGCCCAGGTGGCTGATGGGATGTCGTACCTGGAGCAAAATAACAGCATCCACAGAGATTTAGCGGCTCGAAATGTCCTGGTGGGGGAGGACTACATCTGTAAGGTGGCCGACTTTGGACTGGCCAGAGTGATCAAGGTAAGGGAGGAGGAGGTTATAAAGAGTCTTTTCTGAAGTCAAACCAAGCGGGCAGTTTGTTTAAGACAAAGCATTTGTCCTCCAGGAGCCTTTCTACATCACAGAAGATAAAAAGATTCCCTACAAGTGGAGCGCTCCTGAGGCCATCAGCCACGGGAAGTTCTCCAACAAGTCGGACGTCTGGTCTTTCGGTGTCCTGCTTTATGAGATTATGACACATGGAGGCACTCCTTACCCAGGTTGGTGGAATAAAATGTTGCAAAACTATCCTTTAAAGGCATTGCCCCTGTGTCTGTCACAACCCTAATGCTCACATTTGTTGATGCAGCTTAGGGGGGTGCAGCGGGTCTATCTAATGCAAACGTGGCATGAAATTACACAGACCGAATCCGGAATTTAGTCTTAACAAGTATTAACCCCGCAGCCCTACCATTACTAACCTTACAGAACATATATGTTGACTCTCAACACATTCTGCTCATTTTAAGGTTGACAGTGCTTGAATATAATCAAAGATGATGAAATTAAGTAAGAATTTCCCTACAAAGATTAACCATTTTGGGGAACTGAAAGTAAACAACAATTTTTAGCATTTATATTTATATACTTTTGTGGTTTAGCAGTGACGTGTACTGTATAGTTACTGTGTGAATGATGGAAATACGTCTGCAGTACTTGCTTTTGAAAGTTTCACAACCTAATAACAACTAAAGCTTGCAGAAGAGTACATTTAGGAAGCCTCCAGGTGTATCTACAGGTCTTTTAAATGGATATAAATGACCCCCCTCACCATTTCTCCTCTCCCTCAGCCTTTAGCAACCAGGAAGTTTTCGAGCAGGTGTCAAACGGCTACAGGATGTCGGCGCCGTCCAACTGCCCCAACTCGCTCTATGAAATCATGCTGCAATGTTGGAGCTTCGAGCCTGATGACCGGCCGGACTTCAAGACCGTCAAAGCCAAACTGGACAGCAGCTTCTACGAGCTGGAGTGATTCTTCAGGCTTTTGCTTGAAAGGACATTGATTGTGTGTGTGTGTGTGTGTGTGTGTGTGTGTGTGTGTGTGTGTGTGTGTGTGTGTGTGTGTGTGTGTGTGTGTGTGTGTAAACCTACAAAGCCTGATGTATTTTATTCAGTCCACAAGGCCTGCAACTATTAATTATTTCCATCATTGAATAATCTGAAGTTTTTTTCTTTTTTTTAAGAGCTGAAACATTTTCAAAAGAAGAACTCTAGTCATTTTTTAAAGTAAAAATAAAATAAATCTCTTCAGCTTGTACAGTGTGAGCATTTGAAGTTTTATCTAGTTGTATGTAACGATATATTGGAATATCTTTAGGTTATGGTCTACTTGTAGGATAAAAAATACATTACATTATGTTCATTTGGGCTCTAAAGGGACTCTAAACTCAGACTGTGTTGCCAACAGTTTCCATTAATTGGTGCCGGAGGAAATGCAAGTAGAACAAATGTCTTCAACTAATATTTTGAGTCATGACAACCTCAAAAGCAATAAAGAGAAATACACCACAACCTCAAAAGCAGCAGCCTTCAGGAATATAATTTTGCAAGATCAAATGTCTCACTTGTTAAACTCTGTCTGCAATATAAACCTTTGGCCAGCAAGGGGCAGCGCAGTCACATCTGAAGATTGTCTTGCATTCTTTTCTAATAAGTGATGCACAAATGACTCACAATTGCTTTCCTACAGAACAAACCCATCCAGTATTTCAACAGTTTCTCTCAAAAATAACCAAATCTAAGCTGCTATAAACTGTAATTGGATAAGAAGTCACATTAATCTACCTTGCCGTCTTAAAGTCACTTCTTGCATCAGTAACAAATCAGCACTCCTTGAAACAAGCAATGAGACCAACGAGTCATTATTTTATTCAAAAAAGTTGCTTAAAGTTGTGTAATATGATTGTATTTCTTCTTCCTTAATCTTAGGAAGGCTTAGAGAGTTCCTGATCTCCAGGTAAAAATAACTACCAATAATAAACTACTTAATCAACTATATTTGAACATATCTTTGATTTAATGTCCCATTTTGTAACCAGTTCTTTTAAATTGTCATTGAGTGTTTTATCATCTATGTTGCTGATGAAACGCACTGCAACACCTTCACATTATTTTTAGAGTCAGACATGTAACTGATTCACTGCAGCAGCAGAAGGACTGTCTGACTTTGGAGTCTTATCAAACTCCGGCCTAACCAAAACAACTTCTGTGAACGTTTTTCCAGTGAAATCTGATGCCACCACAACGTGACTCACTGCATAGGGTCCTCTGTAGAGGATACCTTTTGTATTGTACCTGTCTTTGTGCCATTTAATATGCAATGACGTTCTGAATCTATAACTAATGTAAAAATAATGACTAAGTATTGAATAGTGTGTGTTTTTTATTGCTCACCTTCAGACTATTAAACAGAAAACATCCAAGGTACACATTTAGGTGTTTCTTTTAAAGGTCCCCTATTATACTGTTTTTCATCAATATATTATAGGTCTCAGATATATACAAAACAGGTGTTTGGCTCCAAACACCAAACAGATCATTGCAGCATCCCATAATCCCCTCTGTCTCAGCCCTGTTTCAAAAGTGCTGATTCTCTGTCTGTTACTTTAGATGAAAATAAGGAGCCCCTCCCCACACCCCTCTGAGAGATATTTGGTTAAAAAGAACACAAAGGTGCTCTAGGAGGAGATTCAGGTGATAAGGTGGGGGGGGGGTTACCTTGGTTGGTGATTGGCTAATGGTTGCACAAGCCAAAACATCGTTATGACATCATAAAGTGGCCAAAATCTGATCAGCTCATTTTCAGACAGGTTTTTATATAAATGGATCAGGACAAAAAGAGAGGGGTCTTTGTTCTTGACACTTTCAGAATCTCTTCACACAGAGGGGACACATGTTGATGTATAAAATACATGAAAAAGTGGATTTTGCATAATAGGTGACCTTTAACTAACTTTGCCAATTTGATTCTGTAGATTTATCCTAAATTGACCAAAAGTTAGTATAAGACAAGACTTATTGACATTTTAAACATAACATTTCAGGGAACTGTTAAGATAATGTACAAAATATTGTGAAACTAAATGGTTATATCCTATTTACCCTTTTCCCCTGTAGTGTGTTGCACAACACGATTGAAGTTTTCTTCTCAAACTCTGAGCCAGAAGTCTCCACTTCAGCAGAACTTACATACTCCTTCCAGTTTCTTTCATATTTATATCCAGGAGGTTATTCAGAGAGGGTGACTCATATATCATTCATAGTCTGATTTATAAATACACGTGTGTGTGTGTGTGTGTGTGTGTGTGTGTGTGTGTGTGTGTGTGTGTGTGTGTGTGTGTGTGTGTGTGTGTGTGTGTGTGTTCGTCAGGTTAACTGAGGTCTCTATGAATAGAGTACGTTCTGAAATAGGGTCAGAGCCTCAGATTCATCTTAGGTGAACTCAAATCGTCAAAGCCTTAATGAGGAAATCGTAATCAACACAATGCATTGCAATAAATGAACCTCTGAAAGAAGCTTTTTGGGGGAATTTCAGGAGCTCAAACTTTCAAACAACAAAGCTGACTAAAAAAACAGCTACAGTCAATTCATGTATTTAAGTGTCTATGATTGTAAAGTGTAATGAAGCACAGAAAAACAGTACTTTCTCAAGATATATAACTTTCATCACAGTTTTTCTTGCATCTGTTTTTAAAATGTTGGTTTCAGAATACAGAATATTTGTCAGGATCAGATCCCATACCCACAAAAAGTCTGATCCCCATTCAGCTTTGTGATCATAAGCTCTGGGAGTGTCCCGCCCCCGAATGGGAAAACTGCCAAGATTCTTTTTTTTCTTTTTTTAATTATCATCCGGTTCCTCCAGTAGTGTTTCCCCTCATCAGACAGCTGCCTTGAACCTGCTCACCCTGAGCGCCTGGCAGGCACCACAGCAGAATGCCATTCAAACAAAAACACACACACACACACACACACACACACACACACACACACACACACACTAAATGTACAGTACATTAAAGCAGATAGTATCAGTTTTAATACTGTCCCAACTTTTTACTACAAGCTGATTCTGAGAATAAAGCACCCTCACTGCAAAAAGTCACTCTGAAGAAAAAGGGTAAACATAACATTCATAAGAACTAACGTTAAAAGTAGCAAAAACATACATGTCTTTATATTTCTGAGTAGATGTATTGATGTTTATACACAATGGGTATTCATGATATCTGGACAATAGGTCCCACTGAATAGTCGTGTGATGTGTGTATGTTCAGATTAGAATCCATTAAAAAAGACTACACTGATTTACTTTGGTGTATGTACTCTCTTTTACCCGTGCTCAGATAACATTGAGCCACAAGAACAGACATTATTTCACCGTGACGACGCGACATGCAGACAGGCGCTGACTGTGAACAAACTGGATCAGCAACACATTTGGGGTCAAGTGTGTTCAACAAAAGATACTTTGTCTCCTCAGATCTCTTCGTGCTGATGAGAGATGATTCTGCATAATTCCGGTTTACAGATTTGACATTTCAATCAGGTTTTTTTATTTTTGGGTTGAATCCTATAATATCTGCATGTGACACTATACCACGGTTTGGTTAAGATCTGCTTATCTTAGTCAATTAAAAACACTTCATAATCGTAATGAAGGCCAGTGCTTACTGTTGTTAGAACATTGCTCAAGCACCCATCTTTACTGTAATATACTTCTCTAGTTTTACCATTTATATGTATCAAAACTGACAGTAATAAGTTACAAACAGGTCACAATTGGTATTCTGATATAAAAAAACAATGTTAGTGTTTCCCCCCCGCTCCTCCGTTTCCAGTAAAAGTTAGTTTCTCCAACTTAAAAAAAATGCTTAAAACTAAACAGAAACACTAAATGGGATCTAGCCTTAGTTTGTATTAAAAGATACAATGTTTGAGATTACTTTGACATCTCTTTCTGAGGAGAAATGAAGAGGAGTTTGTTTACAGTCTCTTCACTCTTTTCCTGCCACTCCAGCTTCCCGTCACCTTTATGCAGAGTGACCTTTGTACAGACTAAACTTCATACAAGGAAATGGCCCAGTGAGGAGAACACAGCGCAGCGGAGTTCTGCCATCGGTGTTATTACTGTAATGCCCATACTGTGTAATGTGAGTGCAGTGCAACAACACATGCACTGTGTGTGTGTTGTTTTGCTGGACCTACATGTTCTGGTTATTAGTATAGGAACATATACAGAGCTCTGCAACTGAAGGAAGCACATAAAGACATGACCAAAAACATAAAGGTGATACATTTATGCGTTTGAGGATGGAGAAATGTAACAAAAATATCAACAAAGTGTGCAATATAAAATGTTTTAGTTTGAGGCTTGGATGTATAAAGAGAACTGGATGCACTGTATGTTGATTGTGTATATATAGGATATACATATTTTATACATATTTGTATTTTTGTATTTGGGATTGTTGGAAACGTTATTTCGATCTCTGTCTGTACACACAAACTGAAAGATTGACATTAAAGCTGACTTTCTATGTATCTATTGAAAGGTGCTCAGTGGTGCATGAAGCCAACATTGCTCTACCGGTCTCGGGTCATTCACAGGAACTAAGGAGGGACATTTGAGGGACTGGATTGGGCTTTTTACAACAATGATTGACATAAACTCTATCCAAGTGTGCATACCGGGAAGTTTAATTACCTCAAAACACATTATCTGCTGATTACATACGTCTCTTTCGAAGTGAAAATCAATTGGCAAAATGTATTTTCGGGCCAAATCCCTGGTTTTGCAATTGCAAATTTGCTTGGAGCCCAGCTTGACTTGGCAGGAAGAGACTGAAAGGATTATTAAGATTTACACAGATGTTACCAATGGGGTTAATCCTCAATATGGACGATGAATGTGTCAGTTTGCATAGGAGGACGTTTTGTAATGTCTTTCTGTCTTCTGGTTAATCTTGTATGACTCATGACTTTAGCTTTTTCTTGTTTGAAAAATAGCAGGCATCTGTTTATTTTTGTTGTTAGTCCGCATTCATTCTTTTTGACAATCCAGGGAGCATTACAAACAAAAACGCAGTAGACGCAAACAATCTCTAAGATTGATTTTTCAAAACCTGGAATAATCCAAAGGCGACTATCTGCATGAAGAGGTACTACAAGGTGGAAGTGAGAAAATATACAAGTCATCGTGATGAGGAGTCGTCTCACAGGGGTTGGATGTTTATCAAGTCTGAGAGAATGAAAGAATGAAAAGGACAGGAAGGACACTAGACCGTTGTTTCCACATGTTGAGAAGAATAGA